TCAACTCACGATGCTGGGAAACAGAAAAAGAGGAAGAGGCCAGAGTCCCAATATTCCCTTCAAGGATTCAGTCTTTACCTTCCTCTGAGATCACACTTTATTTTTTATTTGCCAGTCCTGGGGCTTGAACTCAGGGCCTGGGTGCTGTCTCTGATCTTCTTTTGTTCAAGGCCAGCACTCTACCACTTAAGTCACAGCTCCACTTCTGGCTTTTTTTTCCTGGTAATTTATGAGATAAAGAGTCTCACAGACTTTTCCCGACCAGGCTGGCTTTGAACCATGATCCTTAGATCTCAGCCTCCCAAGTAGCTAGGATTACAGCTGTGATCCACTGGTGCCCGGCTGAGAGCCCTCTTTAAAAAGTTCCACTACCTCTCACAGGCTGATAACCCAGTCTATAACATGGTTTTGGGTTACAACCAAAAGCTCAGTCCATCTCAGAATGCAAAATGCATTCCATCATCTCTCAAAGACCTTAGTCTTCAGAGTTGCAGTATTGCTATAGTAGTGTATATACACATTTCTTTCTTTCTTTCTTTCTTTCTCTTTCTTCTTTCTTTCTTTTTGTGCTGGTACTAGGGCTTGAACTCAGAGCTTAGTGTCTCTGTTGACTTTTTCCACCATCATCTCTCAAAGACCTTAGTCTTCAGAGTTGCACTATTGCTATAGCAGTGTATATACAAATTTCTTTCTTTCTTTCTTTCTTTCTTTCTTTCTTTCTTTCTTTCTTTCTTTCTTTCTTTCTTTCTCTCTCTCTCTCTCTCTCTTTCTTTTTGTGATGGTACTAGGGCTTGAACTCAGAGCTTAGTGTCTCTGTTGACTTTTTCCACTCAAGATTGGTGATCTCACCTCTACTTCCAGCTCTTTGCTGGTTAATAGGAGATAAGAATCTCATGCCTTTTCTGTCTGGGATAGCTATGAACTGCAACCCTCAGATCTCAGCATCCTTATTAGCCAGGATTACAGAACAGCCAACAATGTCCAGCTTTTATAAGCCTCCACAGTTGTTCTCAAGATGGCTTTCATAGCCAGGATCCAATTTAGGTTCATGCCTCTTTAAATACCTTCAGGGATGTTGAAATTTGTTACACCATCCTAAACAGACCAAGTGAATCAAATGGAACTTCACTGAATGCTAAGTATCCTCTTATATTGCAAAGGAAACAACATGGGTTTCTCAAAAGATAGCTAAGTCATTGTTGAGGGTCATAAATTTGATGTGAGTAGTCAGCATTTTCCCATTTAATGTTTTAACACCCAAACAATCATGTCTCCATGGCCCAGGAAACAGAGGAGCTTCCTGGGAGGGCCACCTGGGAGGGTAGATGCCTCAGATCCCCATTCCAACACCTAGAGGAATCTGTATCTGGATAGTGGGAAACATGAGGACCAAGACTATAGCAGCTCTGAGTTTGTATCCTGATATTTTCTTATCGCTTATTTCTTCCAGGCAAGACATTAGGCAACATTCTTACTCGGTCCCCTTCTATCATCACAGACACCCATAATCCAGAAAAACAAAGACATGGTGGCCTTTTTCTATGTTATTTATTCACAGCAACTAGCTACATGAGGGAATAAACAAATCAATAAGAGCTTTGGGGGGGAGCCATCTGGGCATAGGTAGAATGGTAGGAGTTAGGGAGAAAATAATTTTACAAATGATTAAGTGAAAAGATTTGCAAATACTCATTTAAAAAAGTATCCTCCAAGGGTAACAGAGGAAGATAAAAATCATCACGAATAAAATAAATGAACCACTTCTGATCATTGCATCCCTGCAACCAAAGTCTCCAAAAATGGTTTGCAATTTAATTGTCAAGAATTGCAAATACTTACACGATAGGAAGATTTTCAACACAGAAAAAGAAAGACTAAATCTGGGTAAGATTACTACAATGCAGAAAATTAGCACATGAAAATAGCTGTTATCTGCTAGCAAAAATAGATTTGTTGATGTTAATATCAAAATTAAAGATATTCAAATAAATTATGCCAAAACATTGTAGTTAATATTTCTAAGATCATTAAGAGTGACTTTTTATTGCTCCTACTGGTAAGGAAAGGTCTGAGGAAATTCCAATCATTGGAAGCCATAACACAGCTTGGAAGATGTAACACTTTGTTATTTTCTTGACATCTTCCATGGTAGAGGAAAACAATTCATCACAAACATGGAAGATCCAGATGAAAGACAGTGTCCACAACCCCCAAAAAGACTTATATGAGAAAAGGAATCGTCCAAATGAAATAAACACTAAAAAAGTTAAGTTTGTATACTTTTCTCCCTCTGACAGTCTCCAAGGAAGCACACAAAAACTGGGGGACCATAGAGGTATTCTGGGTCTCTCTTATTCTAAAGAGAACCCTTGTATGTTTAGCTAGTAACAGAACCCACCTAGTGTCCAGGAAGTGAACTGCAGAGGGAAGGCGCACTGAGGTTTTTCTTCTTTTTTCAGTATATAGTAATTGTACAAAATTATGAATGAATTTTATCATGACATTTCCATACAAGTCGCATTGAGGCTTTTACTATTACCACTGATACAGGGAATAGCTGTCTCCTGCTGTGTAGCAAGTGCTCCTTCTGGAGTGCACTAGAACACGGGGAATGCAGCAATACCTGCACAAGGTCCCATTTCCAAGGATATGTGTGAAGTTCACCACACATGTGAGATCGGAATAGAGGTTAAAACATGTTATCTTGAATGGGGTAATGATTATTTTATTTAAGAGATTCAGACTCCAGAAAATTAAATTCCATCTCAGTCTTTCCCAAATAATGTCATATTTCTGGTTTTCTTCATCTTAAAATATAAAAGTCTTAGAGATGCAAATTTGGCAAAAAGATGCTTCTGAGAGACAGGAAAGAAAAAAAGCCATTTCTTCCTTCAAAGGAGCTTTAGGATCTGGATGTAAGCGTGTATTCCTCAAGCTATTTCAATTTCAGAAAAACCATTTGTAAAGATGCTGGTACTGACCGGTAGATTTAAAAATTTGCATATGGTTCTTTACCATATATATTTTTTCATGTATGCCCTCAATTCAAATAAGATCAGTAGAGGTGACATTGGTCTAGTTATCCTTATGTTTCCAAAATTAAGCATGAAACCAATAGAAATATCAATGGATAATCATAATTCACAAAGATTCTATGGCAAAGCTACATCCATTCAGGCTGTATGTTTTTGTTTTTCTTTTTCTAGCTAGACTCTTGAGCAGGCCTGCTTAACAGCCAATATTACTACAACTCTACATTTATCCTCACATTGTAAAAACTAGATTTCTTTCCCCCGGAGTACCCTTAAATCTACAGCTTGCTTCTTATAGACATAAGCTTTTTCTTATGTCTATAAGCAGAATTTGGATAAATGTTGAAAAGAAAAAAGAACAAGGCACATACCAAAGAACTGGACTGTATTGTCCAACTGTTTAGAAATTGAAATGATACTCACATTGTGTACATTTTGACATCTCCTTAAAATGAAATAAATGGATCTCATATTTAACAGGCTTTAAAATGCTAGTCACTTGAAGATTCCAAAAGATGATCGATCATGTTCAATAACTCTCCATTTGGAAAATGCAATGCTGTCCAGTTACTTGGAGTGGCAACAAAAAAACCACTCATCTTTCCACTATTATTTGTTTTCTCCTTCATTTGTAACATTTGGTTTGCTCCGAAGTTCTTTAAATGTCTAAGAATGTATTGGAGAAAACTCTACCACATCCCTAGCCTGGATGCATTACAAAATTGTTAACTAAAATTCCTGACAAAGGCTTAACAAATAGGCTTTGGTTTTAACTGTAATCTGGGAAGAAATTGAAATTGCTTTGACAACACAATTCAAGTACTGCACAAATTATTTTACTGTAATTTGAAATAAAAAGAACAACTTTTCTCATAATCTAGTATCTGACACTGCTACAGAAGTCACAGAGTTATATAAATAAAAAAGTGTAGGAAATGGTTTGGACTCTTGCAGCTTTGTCAGAAGACAACAGCAAACGACAGCAACTCTACATTTGTCTCTAAGGCAGATGGTCAAACATTCTATACAAGGTCTAAAATAAGGTGATTAAGAGGTAGAGAATACCAAAACAGTATTTAGGAAAAGCATGTTGAATTATTTAAAAGTTATGTTGCTAAACTTTTAAAAAGTCAGCCTACCGTATAATGTGTACTATATGTCTTATACTAAACTGGGATCTCCTGGAGTCAACAGAGATGTGGTCAAACAGGAGAGATTGCAAAGCTAGGGGTGGGGTGGGAAGTAGTTTCTTAATTTGCCCAAGATTTGGCTCTTATTAAGGAAAACTTTGCTACTGCCTCTGCAGGATGCCATTGTGGTTTCTCTGATTTTGCATATAAGACAGAATGCTTCCCCCTTCAGGAAAGTGCCCCACAACTATCTTATATAAAAACATACATTCCACTGATATTACACTATTCCTTCCTCCCCCAAAATGTAAATGAAAACATTCTTCAGGCTCCAGCACCAGGAGAATTATTCTGGATGAACAATTCAAGAGCTGTCTGAGGCAAAAAGATACCTCAGCTACCAAATTAAACTTGGGTAGCTTCCACATGAGTGAGTAACCCTGGGAGTTTTCTTTTTCTTTTTTTTCTTTGTCAGTTGTGGGGCTTGAACTCTGGGCCTAGGCCCTGTCCCTCAGCTCTTCAGCTCATGGCTAGCATTCTACCACTTGAGTCACAGCACCACTTCTGGTTTTCTGAGTGGTTTATTGGAGATCAGAGTCTCATGAACTTTCCTTCCCGGGTTGGCTTTGAACCACGATCCTCAGATCTCAGCCTCCTGAGTAGGTAGGATTACAGGTATGAACCACTGGTGCCTGGCTGAGTTCTCATTTCTTAATGCACCTAGGAGAGTTTGATTTTTTTCTTTCCTACAACATAATTTTATAAGGCATACATTTAACTCAAATCTTTTCATCCTTTGGAAAATCAGTGATAAAGCTTCTATTTTTTAACCCACACATGAATATTCAATCTTAAATTTTTATTAAATAGTTTATATATAAAAAGAAATACCAAGGTGTTCTACATTCATATAAACAATCATGGAATCATGACACCATTTGACAATGTACAGAAAACTAGTGAAGAAAATACATAGGTAAATACTTACTATGCCAAGCTAAAGCATACGTGATCATTCTAGATACTATCTTTTAAATATACAGACACAGGTTTGAGCTGCTTCAGAAGCAAATGCAGAAGACACTAACATAACTTTCTTCTTAACGTTTTCACCACAAGACAGGATGATCCAGTTTGGAAAAACCAAGATCTTTTCTAAGTTCCAAATAGGTGCCGTTGCTTACCCAAGAGTCGTCATCAGATTTCCTGTGGGAAAATGAGACCATTTCTTAAACTCTCTAAAACTGTCTCAGTCCATCTCTCTGTCTCTCTTGCTTTCCTTCCCTCCTGACTCTTCCCCCAATCCCCATCATCCTCAGCTGTACTCAGCTGAGCTGGAAACCATAGTGTGCCTTTTGACATGAACTTCTCAGCCCTGCAGGCAGTGCAGAGTGGTGTTTCTGGGGAAAGGAGAGGTCATCAGGGGCTTTCTGGACATAACATGTGGCTAGAAGGAAGGACTGCCACTACCTTGGGAAATGATTATGTAAAAACTACATATCAGAAAGCTGATAGGAAGTGAGAAGTTCAACATTAAAATAGAATAAAACCAAAAGGAATTGGAAGCAGTGGCAGTCTGGAAAGAACAGTCCTGCTTTACCATTGTTCTAATAGATAATGTTACCTAAGTCAAAAGCTTAAAAAAGCTGTTTTCCCAGCTCCACTCACTCAGCCTCCTTCTTGTTCTTTTATTTTTATGCTGGTACTGGGGCTTAAACTCAGGGCCTTCATTTAGCTTCCTTCAGCTTCCTTGCTCAAGGCTGGTGCTCTAGCTCTTGGGTCACAGATCCACTTTCACTTTTTGTCGGTTAACTGGAGACAGGAGTCTCACAGACTTTCCCACTCAGGTTGGCTTCAAACCTGAGTACTTAGAATTACTGAGATGAGCCACTGGAAACCATCCAGATTCTCCATTAAAAAATGAAATTATGTCACTTATGAAAGAAGAAGTTAAGGAACAACCTACTTTAAAGGTATAGATGTATTTTATCAAGTGGTCAGTAACTAAATCCATCACATTGTTAATCTGGCCATTTTTTGATCCCTTGCCTCTTTTCAAAATAGAATTTAAGATGTCTATTTTATTTTTGAAATGTGTATATGAAGTTATGAGTATTTCAGGATAAATCTCTGCTGAGTGGATCTTCAGTTGCAATGTCCTGAGTTTGAGGAAATGACCAGAAGAAATGTGGTAGAATCTACATCTACCAGATGGAGGTGGTTACAGCATTATATTTTGGAGATAAAATATTACTTCTTGCTATTTTTATGTCTTAGAATATATACTTTATTACTGTTGCTGAGATATCCTAAGTCCTTCTGCAAAATATTTGTTTTCCATTCAAAATAGGCAAAGATTAAAAAAAAAAACTTAGCACCAACTCAACAACAAAACACAATTGCAGGGTGGAAGGAGAGAGGGGACTTGCTTCTCCTTTACACATGCTTAAACTTTAACTAAAACAACAACAACAAAAGAGCAAACCAAAAACTCAGGGCCTTGCACTTACTAGATAGGTACTCTACCACTTGAGCCATGTTTCCAGCTCCTGGATCTTTGTTGCTTTTCAGTTAAAATAAAGAAGAAAGCCTGGTGCTGGTAGCTTTTGTCTGTAATCCTAACTACTCAGGAGGCTGAGATCTGAGGATCAAGGTCTGAAGCCAGCCCAGGCAGAAAAGTCCCCCTAAGACTTTTATCTCCAATAAACCTCTCAAAAACTGGAAGTGGAGCTGTGGCTCAAAGTAGTAGAGTGCTAGCCTTGAGTAAAAGAGCTCAGGGACAGAGCCCAGGCCCTAAGTTCAAGCCTACAACCTACAAAAGTATTTAAGAAAAAGAAAAAAAAAAAGAAGAGGACTAGTGGAGGGCCATAATCTCTCATATCCTTTTGCAAAATTTAAGTAATATAAATAAGACTTGCAAGCTGGGCACAGGTGGCTCATACCTATAACCCTAGCTACTCAGGAGGCTGAAATCTGAGGATTGTGGTTCAAGGCCAGCTTGGGCAGGAAAGTCCATGAGACTCTTATCTCCAATAAACCACTCAGAAAATCAGAAGTGGTGCTGTGGCTCAAGTGGTAGAGTGCTAGCCTTAGGCTGAAGAGCTGAGGGACAGTGCCCAGGCCCAGAGTTCCAGTCCCACAATTGACAGAAAAACAAAAATCAAAACAAGACTTGCTCAGCAAATTATTTAAAAGTAACAGTAAATCTTCCAAATCTGAGTTCAGCTGTACTACAACATCTGTCATATGAGGCTTCGACTAAAAGGGATCCCATTTGGGTAATTCATGAATTATTTCTGTTGTACATATAAAATATATTTATGTGGGTAAGCAAGCTCAGCTGTGATTTGTGTGTGTGAACTCAGTGTTTGGGAGCTGTTCCTGAGCTTTTTTGCTCAAGGCTGGTACTATCTACCACTTGAGCCATCGCTCCACTTCAGGCTTTTTACTGGTTAATTGGAAAAAAAAAAGAGTCTCATAGACTTTCATGCTCTGATTGGCTTCAAATTGTGATCCTCAGATCTCAGCCTTCTGAGAAGCTAAGATTATAGACGTGAGCCACCAGCACACAGCCTTAGCTATGAATTGAATTGCAAGCTGGCCTGGACCCAGGACTAGTTCTGACTGATTTCCTTGCCTCTCCCACAAGTATTTACTGAGAGACTTGCTGGGCAGGCACTGCAGGGTCATTGGGAACAAGCAGGATGACATGCAAAATTGGAAGGTGCCAGTCCTGCCTTAGGACAGGGGCCGGGGCAGCCTCAGTTTCACCTTCCAGAAGCTGTTGAGTGGGAAGGGCCAACTTTGCATTCCTTCTCTACATGGCAACATGAAATGCCATCAGGGTCTCTGAGCCCAAGAGTCCCCTGCAGATCCTGACCAAACCTGAAAAACCGAGGCTGGTGCTCCATGTTGTTTTCTTCTAGGACCCGCCGCCTCTCTCTCTGGAGCTGTTCAATCCTCTGCTTCTGTGTTTCAGCTTCCTCTATGTTCCCTTCTTCTAGAAACCTAAGGCAAGGAGGGAAACAAGGGGAAGGAGATTGATCTCAAGAGAATACAAAAGTCACTACTATGCAACTTCCACATGTTTAAGACTAGATATTCAAAATCTGCCATACCTAAGTCCTCCCTCTCCACCAATCTTCAAACTGTATGTATGCAGGCACTGTGGCTTGAACTCTTGCACAGCTTTGGCTAGCACTATACCAGTTGAGCCTCAGCTCCACTTCTGGCTTTTTGCTGTTAACTGGAGATAAGAGCCTTACAAATGTGTCTATCAAGGCTGGCTTCAAATTGCAATTCTTAGATCTCAGCCTCCTAGATAGGTAGGATTACAGGTGTGAGCCACAGTGCTCAGCTCAGAGCAATATTTTGAAGAGGAAGAAAGATATCATTTTGTAAATTAGTGGCATTACATGGTCAAAAGTACTGTATCTATAAAGGGAATTTGGGGTGAGGTCTCCCTATCTTTTCCCCAATTCTTACTGCTTCTTCTTACCCAGCCCTATCCCCTTCACCTTCTCATTACCAGCAACCTTGGTTTCTTGGGTACCTGTTTAGAGATTTTTTTTCCAAACATTTATGCAAATATAAGAATATGTTCTTGGGGCTGGGAAGTTGGCTCAGTGGTAGAGCGCTTGCCTTGCATGCCTGAGGCCCTGGGTTCAATTCCTCAGCACCACATAAGCAAAAAGAAAAA